TTATAGACAGTGAGAGAGAGAGACAGACAGAGAGAAAGGTCTTCCTTCCATTGGTTCACTCCCCAAATGGCCGCTACAACTGGCACTGCACCAATCCGAAGCCAGGAGCCAGGAGTTTCTTCCTGGTCTCCCATGGGGATGCAGTGGCCCAAGCACCTGGGCCATCCTCCACTGCCTTTCCAGGCCACAGCAGAGAGCTGAACTGGAAGAGGAGCAACAGGGACTAGAACCCAGCACACACATGGGATGCCAGAGCTGTAGGCGAAGGATTAACCAAGTGAACCACGGCGCTGGCCCCACACTTTCAAATAAATAAAATAAATATTTTTTAAAAAGATTTATTTATTAAATTGTTTACTTAAAAGGCATAGTTACAGAGAGAGAAGGAGAGACAGAGAGATAGCAGTCTTCCATCCTCTGGTTCACTTCCCAGACAGCTGCAACAGCCAGGGCTGGGCCAGGCTAAAGCCAGGAGCCGGGAACTCCATCTGGGTCTCCCACATGGGTGTCAGGGGCCCAAGCCCTTGGGCCATCCTCCACTGCTTTCCCAAAAGGCAAAGAGGTGACAAGGAGTCTATTCCCTGTTCGGGAGAAGCAGTCGGTTCCTCTGAGGCTCCCCCAGGCCTCCCTCTGCCACCCCACCTTGGTCAGAAGCTGGAGAAAGCAGGCCAGAGGGGTAGTTTGGTCCTGCTGGGGCTTTTACAATGGGGAATCTTATATCTTTGTGCATTAACCACACAAGATTGTTCTAGAAGTTGAGAGCAATGCTTATTTTACCTCTAGCATGTCTACAGATCCTCCAGACTTGGCACTGTTCCCTCCTCACTGGTCCTCTGTCAGCTGGTGGCCACAGACACCTTCCCTGGACTCCCACTGAGCTAGTGCCTGCTCACTGTCACATGCAGTGCCTTAGAGCATGCAGGATCTTTAAGTGACCTCGTGCTTAGCACAGTACAGACCCCAGAGCAGGGACCAGAGAATTCTGGCTGAGGAAAGGAAGGCCAAGTTCATTTCCATTTTAAGGCATCTGGAGATCAACTGTGTCCTGAAGCCGGATGGCTTACAACAGCTAGGCCAAAGCCAGGAGCTCAAAAATCAATCCAGGTCTTCCATATGGGTGCAGGTACCCAAGTACATGAGCCTTTACTTGCTACTTTCCCAGTATATATATTCTATATAAGCAGGAAGTTGAAATTGGGTTGGAGCCAGGACTCAAACCCAGGCATTCTGATGTGAGATGCAGATGCCCAAGGCAGCATCTTAATCTTGCTGTCAATCACCAGCCCCCTCTTTCTCAATTCATATTTTCTCGAGGGGGATCCTAATATCAGGTAAAGAGTGAAAAACTCACCATCAGAAGCCTGTTTTATTGAACAGTGAATGACTATACTATTTGTGAGATACATTGAATTATACAAGGACTAAAATAATAATAATAATAATAATAATTAAAGACCTTGGGCTCAGTTTTGAATGCCAAGGAGCTGCCACACAGAGGTACAATTTTAAGGCTGCAATTCAGAAAGCCCAACATCCCTCCTCCTCTTCGTGTGTTTGTTCCTGGATTTGGAGCCGCTTCGGTCCTGTTTGGTATCACATAAACATCTGCCCCAAGTGATGCCTTGAGACAATCTCTGCATTAGTGTCACTCACACAGAAAACGGAGCAGCCACCGGGCTGCAGAAACGCGACAAATCAGGCAGAGAGGTAGGAGAAGCATTGCCAGCGTGCCTGCTGCCTCCTGCACCTGACATCCTACCTGTGGCTCCTCTTCCATCACTGCAAGTTGTCAAGGTGCTTGTGGATAAACAGAGCCCTTCTCGCGGTGATCTGTCTTCTCACACCGCTTGATTAGTGCACGGGTCATTGCCCACCCTCGGTGAAATGCCCTAGAAACCTCAACAGGCTTTTTTTAAAAAATTAATCAAATGCTGATTTAACTGCTGTGCAAGCCAAGGTATTGTCTCTGGGTCTCCGTATGGTTATTAGACCTTAGGTGAATGGACAGGGTCCCCTTGCTGACCAAAGCGACCCTGGCTTCCCATGACTTTTTAATTATCCCAGCTTCCTCGCTTTGCAGTCTCAACTGCCACTTCCATCCATCCTTTCCTCTCCCAGCTGTCGTCTTCTGTTACCTGTGTGCTGCTCATTCCGACTGAGCAACGCATCCTTCCTTCTTCCGAGGCCACCCACCTCAGATGCCACCTGCTCCCCAGGCCACTGCTGATTGCCCCAGATTTGTACCCAGTCGTCTGTGCGTGCACCTGACTCCTAGCTCCCATGGGCTGAGGCTGTGTTACAGATCCCTTGAGCTGGAGATGCTACAGAGTCCCTGCCACTAGCATGTTGAAAATAATCTTATTGACATGATGTACACATATATTTAAGAGCAAAAGGCAAAAAAAAATTTTTAATCTCCAGTGCTTCAGTGTTCAGCGATACTCTTTCCTGTGGCTCCTTCTCAGGGCCGGCTTTGGAAGCTGGGATTTCCCATCCATCCCAGCAGCCAGAGAGCCAACACTTGAGAATAGTTTCTTCCCTTTGTGAGCCCAAGCTGTAACTTCTCCCCCTCACGTGACACCTGGCTTCCGAGACTGATTTGTTGTAACCTCAGGTGTCCTGCAGGCCAACTGGCTGAAAGTCACTTTACCAAATGACCAGCTTGCTGAGTCAACTCTAGCTCCATAGTAAGTGTGGAAAGGTAGACTTGTGGAAAGAGGGATATTCAGGTTGGATCTCAAAGAATGGGCAGATTTGAATGATCCACCACAAGAGAGAGCCAGGAAGGGCCATTCCAGATCTTCCACTGCTGCTTCACTCCCCAAATGTCCACAGGAGCCAGACCTGGGCCAGGCAGCCAGAGCCAGGAGCTTCATTTGGGTGTCCCATAAGGGTGCAATGGCCAAGCACTTGGGCCATCTTCCACTGCCCTCCCAGGCCCACCAGCAGGGAGCTGGATTGGAAGTGGAGCAGCCTGACTCAAACTGGTGCCCACATGGGTTGCTGGTATCACAGGCCGCAGCTTTACCCACTACACCATAATGCTGTCCCCATTAGGTAAAAATTTGACAAAATATGTGCAATGTCTGTATGCTGAAAACTACAAAACCATAAAAAAATAAAAATAAGCAGAGATAAACCTTGTGTTCACAGATTGGAAGACTTGATATTGTGGAGATGGCAATTCTCTAAACAAATCCGTAGCTTCGCTGCAATTTGCATCAAAATGCCAGCAAGTGGTTTTTGTGAAACTCAACAAGCTCTTTCAAAAAAGTTTATGGAAAGGCAAAGGAAATGAATCACCAAATCATTTTATTTTAAAAATAACCAAGTTGGGGGACTCACACAACTTGATTTTAAAGCTTATTATAAAGCTATAGTAATCAAGACAGATCAGTGGAACAAAATTGTGAATACAGAAGATGCCCACTTAGATAATCTACAGGGCGGCAAAAGTAATTCAGTGGAAAAAGAAAAGACTTTCTAGGGCAGACACAGCGGGTTGAGCCGCCACTTGGGATGCATGTATCCCACATGGAGTGCCAGTTCCAGTACCAGTTTGAGTCCTGGTTGGAGATCTGACTGCTCCATTTCTGATCTTGCTTCCTGGCTCCTGGCTGTAACGTGGCCCACTCCTGCCTATTGCAGGCATACGGGGAATGAATCAGTAGATCTGACTTCTCTCTTCTCAATCTTTCCCTCTCAGTCACTCTGCCTTTCAAATAAAAGGAACGGGGAGGGGAGAGAAGGAAGGAAGGAAGGAAGGAAGGAAGGAAGGAAGGAAGGAAGGAAGGAAGGAAGGAAGGAAGGAAGGAAGGAAAAGAAACAAAACAAAATTTTGAACATGGTGCTGAAACAATTGGATATCCTAATGCAAGGGGAAAAAAAAAACACCTTTAGGGCTGGCGTTGTGACCCAATGGGTTGAGGAGCTGCTGCCTACAACTCTTGCATCCCATACGGGTGCCAGTTCAAATCCCAACTGCTCCACTTCCAATCCAGCTCCCTGTTAATATGCCAGGGGAAAGCAGTGGAAGATGGCGCAAGTGCTTGGAGCCCTGCATCTGAGACCTGGATGAAGCTCCTGGCTCCTGGCTTCAGCCTGGCCCAGCTCTGGTCATTGCAGCCATCTGGGGAGTGAACCAGTGGATGGAAGATCTCTCTGTGTCCGTCTCTATATCTCCTTCTCTCCCTAACTCTGCCTTTCAAATAAGTAAATAAATCTTTAAAAAGAAAAAAAAAAGCCTTCAATCTCTGCCTCACAATATAAGCAAAAGAAACTCAGAATGGGCCCTAAAACCGAACACTATAAACATTCTAAAAATTTCAGGAAAAAATCTAGTACAACATGTTTGTGAAGTCAATCCAGATCTCCCACATGGATGGCAGAGACCCACATATCCCAGCCATCCCTGGCTGCCTCCCGGGGTGCTTACTAGCAGGAAGCTGGCATCAGAAGAGGAGCGGGACTCTAACCTAGGCTCTCCGATATGATAGCAGTGTCTCAACCACTGCACCACATGTCACCCCTTCCCAATGCCATTTCAGTCATTCCGAGCAGCAGCAGGGAAGCTCCTGCGTGTTCTGAAACTGGCCCCACGGGGCTGGTTTGGTGGGGACGAGGCTTTGGGCCCAGGGTCAGATGGGCAGCTCCCCTTTGAGACAGCTACAGGGAGAGTGCTGCTTCAGCCGCTCAGCTGCTGCTGATCCGTGAGTCACGGGGTGTGAACACCTTGGCAGTAGACGGGATAGGCTGAATGGGGGCCGCCACAGGCCTTCATCCTGATGGGGAGCCTTGGCTATTGCCTTACATGGCCCAGGGGATTCTGCAGGTGGGAGAAAGTTCAGGCTCTTGAGATGGGAGATTCTCCTGCTTCAGGCAGCCCATTGTAATCAGAGGGGTCTGAGAGGGAAGCGGGGGCGTCAGAGCCAGGAAAAATGGTGAGGACCCAGCAGAGGCTGGAGCGATGCTTCCCCAAGATAGGATAAGGGACCACAAACCTCAGAGGGCAGGGAACCTGCAGAAGCTGGAAAAGCCAAGGGAATGGATCGTGCCCTGAGACCTCCGGCAGCAGCACAGCACGATGGCCGCCTGGAGTTTAGACTTCTGGTCTCCAGCACTGTAAGAGAATATATTTGTGTTACTTAAGCTACTAAGTTTGCATAACTCATTAAAGAAGCAAAAAGGAGAGGCTGGCGCTGTGGCGTAGTGGGATAAGCCTCTGCCTGCGGTGCTGACATCCCATATGGATGCTGGTTCAAGTCTTGGCTGCTCCACTTCCGATCCAGCTCCCTGCTAATGCATCTAGGAAATCAGCAGAGGATGGCCCGAGTGCTTACCCACGCGGGAGACTTGGGAGGAGATTCTGGCTCCTGCTTCCGATTGGCCCAGCTCTGGCCATTGCAGCCATCTGGGGAGTGAAACAACTGATAGAAGACCTTTCTGCCTCTCCCTCTCTCTGTAACTCTACCTCTTAAATAAATAAATATTTTTTTTAAAAAAAAGAAGTAATAGGAAACTAATTTGGGGGCACTTTTGAAAGTTCATGAAAAACAGGATATAAAGGTAAATTTATGTTGGTGCAAGAATATTTTGAAACCCATGCCTAGTTTTTCCATAATGCGCGTTTTTCCATGAACTATTTGAAGACTCCCCCCCCTTATATGGGAGGGGAGACCAATAAATTTTTTTAAAGATTTATTTATGTATTTGAAAGGCAGGGTCATAAAGAGAGAGTGAGAGATTTTCCATCTGCTGGCTCACTCCCCAAATGGCCACAAGAGCCTGGGCTGGGCCAAGATGAAGCCAGGAGCCAGAAGCTAGGAGATCCATCTGGGTCCTCCACGTGGGTGACAGGAGCCTGAGCACTAGGTCATCTGCTGCTGCTTTCCCAGTACCAGGTGCATTAGCAGGAAGGTGGATAAGAAGTGGAACAGCCGGGACTTGAACTGGGGCCCATATGGAATACTGGAGTCACAGGTGACTTAACCCACCATGCCACAACACCAGCCCCTGAACACTGACATTTTGGAAGTAGGTGTATTCAGAAAACTTAAAGCCAATGATTGCTTTAATTATTTTCCTACACTTAAAACAGAGCAAAATACACACACACACACACACACACACCCCCACCCCTCTATCGATGGCATAATCAATATCATTCATCTGTGCTACAATAAGATGATCATAATTTTGCTGTGTTTAGGAGATATTGTTTAACACAAAGAAACTTTTAAAACTATTCACTCCAGAATCCCAAATGCACTGGGAACACATCACCTGGAAGCCTTGTTTACCTAGAACTAACTGTGCAGAAATGAACAAATTACAGGGTGTCGCTCCCCCTCTTCGTGGAGGAACAACACAGGACCCTGCGCTGTTCTTTCGTCTGCTCGGCCCTCCCCGGGTTTGCTGCTGGTTCTTCCCGGGTTGGCTACTATCCCTTCCACCTCCGTGGAAGGGCAGTTCCCCCTGGCCGCATTCCCCACTTCCGCAGGGGAGCAGCACACTGCCGGCCGGCTCTTCTCGGGGGCTGCACAGGTGTTCCTTCAGCTAGATGTTCCCCATAGATGTTCCCGGTGCATGCCGTCTCTCTCCCCCTTTATAGTCCTCCTCCGCCAATCCTAACTCGGCTGCCCACACGCCGAGTACGCTGCTCTCCAATCAGGAGCAAGTCCTACAGTTTATTGGTTGAACTGGAGGCAGCTGTGCGGAAGCTGTTTACTTCTCTCCCAACGCCATATTGTGGGAGAGCAGATGCATAGAATAAGTCTTAATTCCAGTAACTTAGTCTAGTCCGGTTTGCTCCCCACACAGGGGGTAACTGTGATTAATGCAAACCCATTTTGGGGGACAAAATACTGAGCTGATGAAAAGATCTGACCCCAACATTGGTTGGAGGTTTGAATGCTTTTGTTCATGGTTTTCTGCCTCAACTTCAAATGTGCCACTCTTATCTCAACAAATAGACTTTTTGGGTGCAGAGTTTTGACTCAGAAAATCTATCCTTGGCTCTCCGCAAGTAACTATTGAGAAATCTTCGGATTTACAAGAAAGTATATATTGGGATCGAAACATGCTTTTCACGCTGGCAATTCGTGTGCCATCTGTTTGAGCCCTGTCCTGGCTTTGAGAGACACCTACTTGCTCCATGGCCCTAAGCAAGAGTCTCGTGGTCATCCCGGTGTGTTAACAGACGGTGACATCATCGGCAAGCAGGAAATGGCTCTCAGGTTACCGTATAAATTGACTTAAGCTTCGGAGAGGATTACAGGGCCGACCTCTGCTAAGTGTGGAGATGCCATTACAGCTAAATCAAAGGTACCCGTGAGGTCTGGCAGGCACCTGTCAACAGGTAAGGGAAGGAGAAGCCCCAGAAGGAGCCCTGAGCCAGGCTTCCATTCTCCCAGCTTTATTTTCATTTCGGGTTAAAGGGTCAGACAGAGCAGCCCTTCTAGGGGCTCTTTATTTATGGTTCTCAGAGACCTGGCTGGGGAAGCGTCATGAGGAAGAGGGATGGGTCAGGTGGCCTGCCCGTGTCCCGCCCTGCTGATGACAGACTCGTGAGAGCCCAGCTATTTATTAATGTGCATTAATGTTTGCAGGCGCAACAAGAGAGTGGGGTTGAGTGTGTTTTCCATCCCCCTCCCCTCCACCACCTCTTGTTGGCCTTTCTGTTACATTGTGTGGAAGTTATAGGAGTTTCATGTGTTTCCTGAATGCAAATTTAGGGACCTGTCGTCAGCCTGTGAGAGCCCTGAGGGCAGGTACTTGCACCTGGACTGGCAGGCGTGGCTGGAGGAGAGTCTCACTTACCACCCGCCAGCCACTCTCCAGCAAAGGATGCCTGCTAACTGATGTGTTGTTAGTATAAAGTGTACCCCTTCCAGAGGCGGCTATAGTGGCATATCTGCGGAAGCTGCCACTTGGGATGCCCATATTCCATACTGGAGAGCCAGTTCAAGTTCAAGTCTCAGCTTTCTGCTTCCGATCCAGCTTCCTGCTATTACACCTGGCAGGCAGTGATGCCCCAACTTGCCACCAATGTCAAAGACTCAGATGGAGTTCTGGGTTCCTGGCTTCACCTGGCTCAGTGGATGGAAAACACCTCTCTCTGTCTCTCTCTTTCTCTGTCTCTCTCCCCTCTCTCTGTCTCTCTTTGTCTTTCTGTCACTCTGCCTTGCAAATAAATACATATTTTAAAAATACAAATAAAACATACCCATTCTAAAGGATGTTTCCATTTGGTCTAATGGCTTTTGAGAACAAGGGGTTTTCTTTTTTGTAATGTTTTTAAATTGAAATTTTTATTTAGTTATTTTTATTTTGTTTGAAAAGCAGAGAGAGAGAGAGACAGAGAGAGAGAGAGAGACAGAGAGAGAGAGAGATCATGTATCTGCTTGCCCACTCCCCAGATGCTTGCAAAAGTCAGGACTGAGTAAGGCCAAAGCCAAGAGCCTAGAACTCAGCTCAGGTCTCCCAAGAGGGTGGTAGGCACCCACATATTTGAGCCATCACCTGATGCCTTCCAAGATGCACGTTAGCAAGAAGTAGGAGCCTGGACTCAAACCAGGCAATCAGATATAGGGTGCAGCATCCCAGGTGAGGATTTAACATCTGCACCAAATGCCTGCCCCTGAAAACAAGAGATTTTTGTACCTGGAACAACAAAGTGACAATGGTCAACTGAGTAGAAGTGATATTTGGGACAGCGAGGGGACCCTGGAACTCAGTTGAGAACATTTTCATCACCCCAAAAATGAAACTCCCTACACTATCCACCAGCAGTCACTATCCACTCCCTCTATCTGCACTCATCACTCGTCCCCATGGCAACCCTCATCCGCTTTCTCTGTGGGTTTGCCTATTCTAGCCCACACATATGGATGGACTTCTACAACATGAAGTCCTGTGGGACCCCTTTCTTAACATAATGTTTTCGAGGTTCATCCACGTTGTAGCACATATCAGCACTTTGTTCCTTTTTACTGCCAAATAACATTCCCTTGTACCATTTTCATTTGTCAGTTACCGGACACGTGGGTTGTTTCCCCGCTTTGGTCATCCCTCCCTCTGAATTCTGACCATGTTTCTCTGTCCCTCTCCCTGCTATCCAGAGTTGTTATTGCTGTCTGATGCAGTCTTTTGTCTATGGCTTTTGACTTCTACTCTACTAGCGTTCGGAATATTCTCTCCGTTCCTCGTGCTGAAATTTCACATTGGTGTGCTTGGTGGGTTATCACTCAATGATCTGATCTTGCAACCAACCCTTTTAATTTAGAAATCTGATACTTCAAAACTGGGAAATTTCCTTGATTATTTCTTTATACTTTCCTTTCTTCCGTTTTCTTGGCTATTTCTGGAATTCTTATTTTAGTAGGTTGGATGTTCTGGCTTGAGAGTCTAATTTCCTCACCTATTTTGTTCTATTTATTTTTATTTCTTTGAAAGGCAGAGTTACAGAGAGAGATAGAGACAGAGACAGAGAGATCTTTTTATTATTATAATATTATATTATTATTGTTATTATTACTTATTATTTATGCTTTCCCAGGCATATTAGTAGGGAGCTGGATCAGAAGTGGAGCAGCCAGGACTAGAACCGCTGGTCCAATATGGGATGCCTGTGTGGCAAGCGGCAGCTTAACCTGCTGTGCACAATGCTTGCTCCACGTGCAAGGGTTTTTAGTTCTCCACATTGTCACCACCTCTTGTTACTTTCCAATTTTTGATAATCTCAACCCTGATGCAAGTGAAAGAGGGTGGGATTTTGACAAACAGAATGAGCCAGGCTCACAGGCAGCTGAGGCCTGGAGGGGTTGTGGTTCAAGATGGATTTAGTCACACCCTGGTCCTGTTTACCTCCCTCTCCAGGAAATAGACAGAGTCCATGGAGTTTTGGAAAGTGCCTACCCCTGGTGCCATCCAGCGCTGCCAGGGCTCCTGGGCGTGAACCAGGGGCAGGGGAACTGACACTCAGGTGGGCTGAGCAGCCACTCACATCACAATGCCCAGGGCCTGTGACCAAACTGTGACTCCTACCACACAGACCAGGGCTCATCTCAAAGCCAGGTGTGGTGGGGGGCTGCTGGACTCCGTGCCACAGGGGCACCTGGAGTTGGAAGGGCAGGAGCACCGTCACGCCTTGGCAGAGGACAGGGTAGGTTCTGTCTGCCTGCAACTGCTCCCCGGCCCGGGAGAGAAGCCGTGTGGGCACAGAGAGGGCACAGGGGCTGGCTGAGGTCTGACCGCCCCCTTGCTGGGCCATGGCTGGCTGGACAGAGTGGGGTTCAGGGAAGGGTCCCCCAGGGGATGAAACAGAATCCTCACCGTGAACCTAAGCATCACGCACACAGTGAGGCCTCTCCTAAGACTTCAGGGTTGAGGGTGAAGGGTAGGACTGAACCTAGAAGCTGGTACTGTTTAACTGGGACTACAGGACCCTCATGCTCTCCACTTCTGCCAGCCCACTCCTGCTGAACCGTAGTGCCTGAGTCCTAGGCCTGGGTTTTGCTTTTAAGCAGTTCTGAACCCAGGTCAGCCAGGGGCCTGGAATTCAACCCAGGTCTCCTCTGTGGTTGGCAGGAACCCAAGTACTTGAGCCATCACCTAGTTCCACCAAGTATGCACATTAGCAGGAAGCTGAGATCAGAAGCAGAGCTGAGACTTGACCTCTGGAGCTCGGATGGAGATGTGGGTGCCCCAGGTGGCACTTTAACATCATAGCGTATTTATTTTGTTCTGGGTACGCATTACTCACTAAACAAGCTTTGAAATAAAATTTTAGAGGAGAGTCAAAAGCTGGTTTTCACTCCTAAAGGATGCCTTGCTTCTGGTTAAACTGTAGGCACCTTCTGCGGCTTCGTAGCTCATAACCCAATTTATGTGCAATCAGTTCCCAGAGGCTTGCTCTTTCGTACTTGGGTAAGTTGGTTTCTGCGGCACAGGGCAGAGGGATACTGGGTAAACTGCTATCACTTTTGTCCATCGGTTTGTGGAAGACGATGGTGAAGCCGCAGAGTAAATTGCGCTCTAGGAGCAACGTGTGGCTTTAAGGCTCCCTCTCACCGAGCATTCCAGCAGGAGAGTGCGGTGGTCTAGTGTGCACACTCCATGGCCAGAGATGCTCGGTCCTCACCAGAAACCGGCCTTTGCCTTTAACCCCTTCGGCCCCAGTATGCCCTTCTGTAAAATGCACGCGGCAGCAGAAGCCACTGCTGTTGGAGTACTGAGTTTCAATGTGTGGAAAGCAGTTGGAAGCAGGCCCAGCCACGCCTTCGGTAAGCGCTGCTGTGCCCCCAGCCTCTAGTATCAGTGCTCTGCTGCTGCAGTGACAAATTTCTGCAACGTGTTGGTCTGAACAATACACATTTGTCCTCTTACACTTCGGAGACCGGAAGTCCTAAAGTCAAAGGTGAGAATCTGTTCCACCACCATCACCATCACCATCACCACCACCATCACCATCACCATCACCATCACCACCACCACCACCACCACCATCACCATCACCACCACCACCACCATCACCACCACCATCACCATCACCATCACCACCACCATCACCACCACCACCATCACCACCACCATCACCACCACCACCACCATCACCATCACCATCACCACCACCATCACCATCACCATCACCACCACCATCACCATCACCATCACCATCACCACCACCATCACCACCACCATCACCATCACCACCACCATCACCATCACCATCACCACCACCATCACCATCACCATCACCACCACCATCACCATCACCACCACCACCACCATCACCATCACCATCACCATCACCATCACCACCACCCCGTCGCCACTTCCAGCTTCTCGAGGTCGCCCGCATCCTTTGGCTCCTGGACCTTTCCTGCATCTTCCAAGCGCATCCCTCCACTCTGCCTCTGTTGCCAGTTTCCCTTTCTTGCCTCTGACACCGTGGCTTCCTTTCCTAAGGACTCCTGTGATTACACTGGGCTCACCCAGGCAATCCAGGGTCATCTTCCACCTCAAGATCCTTAACTCAATCACATCTACAAAATACCAAGTGAAGAAGCACTCAGAAGCTGCAGGAGGAAGCGGAGGGGATCTCTTTGGAGGCACATTATTTGGCTGCCTCAGCTCTCTCGCCAGGTTGGTGGGAACAGTGTCCGTCTAAGTTACATAGCATATGCATGATTCTCCAGGCTAGCTAAATACAGTGCACACATTGATAGGATGAAGCTGTTGATAAAACTTCTTACCGGGGCTGGCACAGTGGCACTGTGGGTTAAAGCCACAGCCTGCAGCACCAGCATTCCATATGCATGCTCCACTTCTGATCCAGCTCCCTATTAGTGAGCCTGGGCAAGCAGTGGAGGATGGCCAAGTCTTTGGGCCCTTTTACCCACGTGGGAGACCCAGAGGAAGCTCCTGGCTCCTGGCTTTGGCCTGGTCCAGCCCCAGTTGTTGTGGTCATTTGCAGGGTGAACCAGAGGATGAAAGGTCTCTCTCTCTCTCTCTCTCTCTCTCTCTGTTTCTCCTCTCAATATATAATTCTGCCTTTTTTTTTTTTTTTTTTTTTTTGGACAGGCAGAGTTAGACAGTGAGAGAGAGAGAGAGAGAGACAGAGAGAAAGGTCTTCCTTCCGTTGGTTCACCCCCCAAATGGCTGCTATGGCCAGCATGCTGTGCCGATCCGAAGCTAGGAACAAGGTGTTTCCTCCTGGTCTCCCATGCAGGTGCAGGGCCCAAGGACTTGGGCCATCCTCCACTGCCTTTCTGGGCCACAGCAGAGAGCTGGACTGGAAGAGGAGCAACCGGGACAGAATCCAGCACCCCAACCGGGACTAGGACCTGGTGTGCCGGCGCCGCAGGCGGAGGATTAGCCTAGTGAGCCACAGCGCCGGCCTCTGCCTTTCAAATAAATAAATCTTTGTTTAAAATCATATTGATACAAATATCTTGTTGATATAAATAACTCAGAGTATCATTTTTCAGGGTCAGTATTGTAGTATATCAGGTTAAGCTAGCATTTGCAACACTGGTATCCCATATGGACACCGGTTCAAGTCCTGCCTATTTCACTTCCCATCCAGCTCCCTGATAGTGCACCTGGGAAAGCAGCAGAAGATGGCCCAAGTCCTTGGGCCCCTGCATCCGTGTGGGAGACCAGAACAGAGTTCCAATATCCTAGCTTCGGCCTGGCCCAGCCTCAGCCATTGTAGCTATTTGGGTAGTGAACCAGCAGATGGAAGATCTGTCTCTCTGTAACTCTGCATTTCAAATAAATAAAATAAATCTTTTAAAAAAAAATGTCTGGGAGGCAGCAGATGATGGTTCAACGGGTGGGGTCCCTGCAATCCAAGTAAAAGAGCCAGATTGCGTTCCAGACTCCTGGTTTCAGCCTACCCAGCCTCAGCTGTTTCAAGCAGCTGGGAGTAAACCAGCAGACAGAACATCTCTCTCTGTCTCTGTTTCTCTCTCTCTCTCTCTCTCTCTCTCTCTCTCTGTGTGTGTGTGTGTGTGTGTGTGTCACTTGCCTTTTAAATAATTAAGAATGAATAGGCTGGTGCCGCAGCTCAATAGGCTAATCCTCCGCCTGCGGCGCCGGCACACCAGGTTCTAGTCCCGGTCGGGGCAACAGATTCTGTCCTGGTTGCCCCTCTTCCAGGCCAGCTCTCTGCTGTGGCCTGGGAGTGCAGTAGAGGATGGCCCAAGTGCTTGGGCCCTGCACCCCATGGGAGACCAGGAGAAGCACCTGGCTCCTGGCTTCGGATCAGTGTGGTGCGCCGGCCGCGGCGGCCATTGGAGGGTGAACCAATGGCAAAGGAAGACCTTTCTCTCTGTCTCTCTCTCTCTTTCACTGTCCACTCTGCCTGTCAAAAAAAAAAAAAAAAAAAAAAAAAGAATGAATAACATTTAAAAAATACTTAATTAATGTATAATTCTAAAGTTCTTTGACCTTTGTAGTTTCCAGAAATATACTGGCTTGCCCCTGATGCCAAATAAGGAATGTCAGAAATGCCAGGAAGTGAATGCACACTTCTGAATTAACCACACCGAAAGTGGCAGAGACACACACTGAGGTTTGCCAGCAGCTTCAGCCACCTGCTCCTCACAAGTTTACAAGGAGATGGCTGAGAGGCTGAAACCGGAGCATACATCATTGGCAGCATGCCTTTCGCAATCAAAGAAAGAGGACGTTAGCATTCCAGCCTGAGCTCCTATATATTTATTTAGTTAAGAGGCAGAGAGACAAAGAGCTCTCCCATCTACTGGTTTACTCTCCAAATATGCACAATAGCCAGGGCTGGGAACTCAACCCAAACCTCCCATGTGGGTGGCAGGGACCCAATTACTTGAGCCCTTGCCTGCTGCCTCCCATGGTGTGCATTAGCCGGAAGCTGGAATCAGAAGCAGAGCTGAGGCTTGAACGCCACTTTGATATGAGATGCGGGTGTCTCAGAGACACACATTCTCTCACAAGATCCTCATCTTTTTTTAAAAGATTTTATTTAGTTACTTGAGAGAGAGAGGTTACAGACAGAGAGGTGAGACAGAAAGGTCTTCTATCCACTGGTGCACTCCTCAAACAGCCACAATGACTGGAGATGGGCTAATCTGAAGCCAGGAGCCAGGAGCTTCTTTGGGTTCTCCCATGAGACTACTAGGGCCCAAGTACTTGGGCCATCCTCTGCTGCTTTCCCAGGCCATAAGCAGAGAGCTGGATGGAAAGAGGAGGAGCTGGGCTTGAACCAGGGCCCATAGGAGATGCTGGTACCATAGGCAGAGACTCAGCCCAGTACAACACAGCATAGGGAAGGAGAGAGGGAGAGGGAGGGGGAGGGCCCAAGAGGGAGGGAGAGGGAGGGAGAGGGAAGGGGAGGGGCCAAGAGGGAGGGAGAGGGAGGGAGAAGGAAGGGGAGGGGCCAAGAGGGAGGGAGAGGGAGGGAGAGGGAAGGGGAGGGGCCAAGAGGGAGGGAGAGGGAGGGGGAAGGAGAGGGGGAAAGGGATAAGGAGACGGGGAGGGGAAGAAGGGGAGAGGAAGAGGGGGAGGGGAAGAGGGGGAGGGGAAGAGGGGGAGGGAGAGGGAGAGGAAGTGGGTAGGGAGATGGGGAGGGGGAGGGAGGGGTCAAGAGGGAGAGGGAGGGGGAGGGGCCGAGAGGGAGAG